ATTTTTGTTCTAGCAGAAGTTCAATCAGGGTATAACATAGAGTCAGACTGATCTGGCCAAATGGTGTATCATAGCGTCATAGAATGGTTTTAGTTGGAAGGAACCTGAAAGATCATCTAGTTCCAACACCCCTGCCATGGGCAGAGACCCCTTCCACTAGACCAGGTTGCTCCAAGGCTCATCCAGCCTTGCCTTGAACACTTCCAGGGACGGGGCATCCACAGCTTCTCTGGGCAATCCGTTCCAGTGCTTCACCACCCTCTCTGTGAAGAATTTCTTCCTGATATCTAATCTCAATCTATCTGCTAAAGCAGAAATTACCCATGGTTTGCTTTGACACTGGCCAGAGAAGATGAGCCACAGCCTTCAGAACAGTGTTTGGAAGAGTTTCTAGTAGAGGTGTAGAGAACAAAATTGTACATGACCTTGTGGCAAGAACATGAAGGCTGTTTGAGGTGATGTGCCCAGGCTGAGTCCCTTGTCCTTGACTCTTTAAAGCATGAGGATCCCTGCAGAGGTGTGACCAAAGGCATAAAAGTCAGTCCCCCAGGGATGGGGATACAGATACCCAGAGGAAAAAATCGTGGGCAATTGGCCCGGAGTCCAGAAGAGGACATAGAGTAAGCCTGGTCTTGTACTGGCTTGTCTTGATTCTGCTGCTGCTCCCAGGACTTTGCATACCAATTCCCAGGTCACTGGGGGAAAGATCAGGACATTTCACCTACTTGAAAGGTGTTGGGAAAAAGTCCAGGGCATATGTCCAACTGTGTGCCTGTTGGCCTGTTTCTACTCCACCCCCCAAAGGAGGTAAAAAGGCATGGGAAATATCATTATTTCCACTTGTATATGGCATTTAACTATTAACAAAGAATGAGTCAGATGCTGACTCTTGAGAAGTGAAATGAAGCTACAATTCTGAGTTGTTTCCCAAGAGATGGGCCCAGGGTTTGGTCCGTGCAGAGTTTCAGAACAAGCACAGCACTGACCTGCATGTACAAGACTCTCTGGGCTATTGGAATGACACTGTGAGAATGAGAGTTGTCTCTTGAAATGCAGTGGGAGAAGAAAGCAACCATTCTCACCCCACTGCCCTTGCTTGCTCAGTCCTGCTGATTGCCAGCTGGTCGCTAGTTCCCGGAGTGCTGGCAGGTAGTGAGTGAACTGAGCAGGGTGAAATTGTCACAGTCATGAGTGACAAGCTGCAGGTGTTTCTTCCCCGCTTGGAAACATTTCCCCTTGGCCTTTTTTTGAGGTGGAGATTCAAGATTCTGCTTTGGGCCAATATTTGTGGCTCCTTCAAGGTCTGACAGGCAATGTCTCTAGACATGTCTTGAACCACATGAGTTGTTTCTGAAGCGTGTGTTAAATTTATGATAGTCAAATTCTTCGCTGCTCTATAGTGTCTTACATCATGCACAAGGAAGCCTTGGCCAGGTTCTTCGAGGAACAGGAGAAAATTATTGTGGTGCTTAGTCATATCAGTGAGCAAGGCTTGGTAGAGCAAGAGTCATTCTTTTTGCTGTCCCAATTTTCTTGACATAATTTGAACTCAAGAAAAAAGTACCCAAAACTATGTACACCTGGCTCAGGATATTCAAATCTTTGATTTGAAAATTTGAAAATAGGCAACCAAAGAAAATACCCTAAGACAGAGAACCATATTCCACTGACATCTGAAGTATGGAGATGAGCAATTAGGGAAAAGAACCCTAGGAGAAACAAATCATACACTTCAAGGATACAGTCACATCGAAAAGCACATAATGTTTAAAGGTCTGATTAAACAAAAGTTATCTAGAAAGCAAACAACTTCTGTATTTCATTTCCTTTTGACAACATCACAGACATCTTTGTACACCGCCTGTTGCATAGAAAGCTTATTTGGGTTGAGCAGCAGTCTGAAACATGCTGGGAAAATTCCGTGACCAATCTTTTCATATACGATGGTCAAACCATAAGGCCTGGTTTCATCTGTCTTGAGCTGAGGCACCTGTCTATGGCTCCTGACCATAGGGAATGAATGAATTTTGGGTTGTGGATGATCAGCAGGTCTCCCCCATAGCAGGGTGGAGACCACAGGAGGAAATCAAACACACATGGATGATCCAAACAAGATATATGATTTATTGTCTTGCTCCAGGATGCAGTGATCTATTTTAATGCCTGACACATACTCCAGACAGCCCTCATTGCAGTTTTTTTTGTATGCCTCTTTGTCCCTTTTCCTATTTCTTTCCCTTCCCCATCTTTGCCCACTACTAATTAAATTTTATTTGGCCTCAGATTTGCTACATCTGTACCTGAGGTTGCTATTTCAGCTATGCTTACAGCGGCACTGCTGACCTATCAAGGCTTAGGTAGAGAAACCCATAGCTGACCTGCTCTACTGTTGGTCCAACATCAGGTGGGAAGCTGGCCAAGAGGACATCCAGAGAGATCCCTTTCAACCAGCATTTCTGTAACTGTGAATGTATCCACTGCAACAGGGAGGATGGTATTGATGAAGGGTGCATGGAAACAGAAATAGATTAATTTCAAGCTGAATCATAGAATCATTTGGGTTGGAAGGGACCTTAAAGACCATCTAGTTCCAACCCCCCTGCCATGGGCAGGGACACCTTCCACTAGACCAGGTTGCTCCAAGCCTCATCCAGCCTGGCCTTGGACACTTCCAGGGATGGGGCATCCACAGCTTCTCTGGGCAACCTGTGCCAGTGCCTCACCACCCTAATTGTAAAAAATTTCTTCCTTATATCTAGTCTAAATCTATATTTTTTTAGTTTAAAACTATTATTTCTTGTTCTATCACTACAGGCCCTAGCTCTAGGGTCCTTCTTTGTCAAAAGGAAATGAAGAATTTCCTGAAAATGATAGCTAGGCTAGGTGTAATAAATCTCCATATATAGGTATCCACCTCCCTACTCTGTTTTTCTGAAGGACTGATTTCTCTAGGGCAGTAAACTTCTGAAAAAAGGCAGAGGATAGTAATGAGTACTTAGTGGATGAGGGTCTGCGTTACTATGTAATTACTGTAAGGAGAACTGGAGAACAAAACTGCATAGTTTATTTTTCCCCCTTTTGTTTTAAAGAAGAGAAGATAACTATTGTGTGCATCATTCTGAAAGATTTACTCATGGTGAGTGGTACTTTCTCACTCAGGTGTTCCTTTGACACTCCCAGTCAGTAGAATTACCCCACAGCTGTAGGTGAATGAAAGACCCTCTGAATTCCCAAGTGGGGTATTGAAGGGTGAGCTTCATCCATTGAGGATAAGATTTTTTCAGCCTGTCTACACATGGAATCTTTTTACTTCAATACTTTGTGTTTGTAGAGTATGCTCAACATACTTCTGAAATCTTTACATATGCAATATTTACATTGTTAAATGCCTTCTCAGTTTTTACAAAAATGATTGTGTGAAAGCTTTGAAAGGATTAAATATGTCTTCTAGACAACAAGGTAGAAAAGTCAGTCATTGCACAGCCGAAAAAGAGCATATCTGAACTGAAATGTGTTACAACAAATGTATTTTCATTCATAGATAGAAATCTGACATATTTAGCAGTATACAGCTGATACAACATATGGGACAGCTCTGCCTGGTATGTTTCTAAAGTTTTTCAAGGAAAAATACATCAGCAGAAACAAAAAGATCTGTACTATTCTATGAAAGGAGTTTTCCCCTGAAATCTGATAAGAAAGGCTTGAAATACGATGCTAATAAAAAAGTCTTGCAAGTTCATCCACTGTAGCCATCAGTGGTTGCTTTCTGTGTCTGAATAATGCCTAGAGGCCCCCTCATCCTTCTGTTAGATTTTCATCTCCTATCCATTGCTTCTCAATGGATTACCCCATGTAGCTATGCACAAATATTCGACTGGTCCCAACTGTTTTCATCTCATAGAGTACCTTCAGATACCTCAATTTTTGTCTCTCTAAATTGAGAAGCTATTATCATAACTTCTTGAGTCGAGTTAATTCACCTTAATTTAGCTTCAGTTTTCTTTCTGCTTTCTCTTGTTTTAGGAGGCAGTGACTGCAAATGTAGTGGTTCACGACCCAGTTCTCCACTGAATATTCTGTATTCTGTAGGTTGAACATAGCTGCTTTCTGATCAATTGTTAAGAATTTATGCTTTTTCTTAGAGCTAACATTTAGTTCAGCTTTTATCTATTACATTAACAGTACTACTATCCACTTATTACTGTTGGACATAATAACACCTATTATATAATTACCTGTTTTTCATAGCTCCTACTCAATTCCTTTATTGTGTCCTTGAAACAGTTTAAATAAACCTTTGCCAATAATTAAATTTTTCACCATTTCACTTTCTTCTCCCTTTCAATAAATATATTAACAAAGAATCTTGAGACCCATATTGCCACTTAGTGTACCTCATCAATCACTACGTTACATGCTTTGCTATGAAAATGGTTTCAACATTTTGTTGCCTGTCATAACCAAGCTTCAAAATACAGCACATTTTCTCCCCCCATCCAAAAGTAGGACAACACACTTCCTTAAAAAGTTAATCTGGGATGTTCTGATGAAAAACTTGTTAGAATCCAAATAAACAATATCAATCCATTTCTTCCTGATTACCCCTACGCATTTGAACAATGTGACCGTGACTCAGAAATCTTGCAGTTAAGCATGGTATCCTGTAATGGGCTTGAAACACAAAAGTTGTTTCAATGGCCACATTGACTCAGTAACGAGAAAAAAGGTAAAACGTATTTACAGATAATTTTGTAGAGCAGTTTGTGGTGGGTTTTTCTAATGAAAAAATATATTGGAAGGATTTAATTAATTCAGCTGAGCTTGGCATAATGAGTATGTTTTCTAAAATCAAACTTCGTTTACATTACAAAACCATAGCTACTTACAGCCCCTTCTTGAAAACCTGGTGTGGTTAGGACAATACTTGCATGTTGTGTTTTAGCATTAGAAACTGAAAAGAACATAATTAGGGCAAATATTACAGATGAATTATTTCTCTACATGGTGGCTTCAAATCTGCTGTGCTCATCGTGGTTATTGGAGTGACGTTCATGTGGTTTCTCCTCTTCCGGAACCTGCCATGAAGATCAGAGAAGGGTTCAGTTGATGAGACAAATACTTCCTTTTGCCATAGAAAGACACTGAAGTGCACTGAGAATGCCATTCTCGTTGTATATATGATGCATCCATTTATTAACAGTGACCCAGCCTGACATGAACCACCAGTTCTGATTTCTGAGGGATAAATTCAGGGTTTTCTAAACAGAAGAATTCCTTAACAGTGGTGCTAGCTGTGAGAGTGTAAACTTAACATCTGGGATTTCCAAAGAGTGCTAAAGAAATGAGGTGACCATCTCTAATGAAAAGTAAATGATCTTTTAAGCCAAATAGCCATGTCCCTTTGCATTACCTGATAAATTTCACTCAGAATACAATACTTCTGAGAAGTTCTACTGATAGTGCAGGACCTTCAATTGAGCAGGGTTGTATTATTATTACTGGTGAACAAAGGCTGTGAATTCTTCAGCCACACTAAAACTTTTCCTGACATCTTTTCTCATTTACATATGACAGCCTGTTTCAGGTCTTGCCAAAAAACAGTGCTTTGACTTTCCCTAGGTCAAACAGTGAATGACTTGCAGAGCTATCATTAAAAGTGTTTTTTTTTTTTTCTCTTTGTCATTTCTACAGCTGATTTTTGACTCAAAACTTACCCTTAGACTACAAACTTTCACCAAATGCCAAGTTGTGTGGTTCATTAAAAAAATAATAAATCTTATTTTAGGTTAAAAACACTGTATTTACAAGGAATTAATATAATGTATTTCTTCTGGTCTTGTCTTTTTGAGTTTGCCCTGGCATAAAGGATAAAATTCAGGTTGCTTTAATTAAGAACCTGTTGCCAGTGTCTGATGAAGAGGGATGAAGAAAGCCTACAAACAGTACAGGAAGCTTCTTAGGTTAGCCAAGAGGAAAGGCATGTCTGAGTTTCTGCTTTGCACTTGATTGTAAGCATCCAACTCAGAGATGTATGTGAGACTCAGCAGATCAAACCCAGGTCTTTATGGTACACAGCTCTACATTTGACGTAAGCAATGCAAGGTCTTTCATTATCGCTGGGGAATCTGGAGACTTTCAAGGTTTTAATTCATGTAATCTAACATAGATCTGGAAGGATTCTGTTGAACTGCAATCTGGAGACATATCTTCATGGAGCATAAAGGGAGCCTAGCAGGGCTAATTCAGATGAACTTGTTTTTTTCAGACACATTTTTTAAGCCTTCAGGCATAAAACAACAGTACCAGAAGACCTGTCATCTTCTGACAACTTCAGTGGTCAGGTAATTCAACTAGGAAACAGAAGAGCTTCTACTCAGCCTAAAGGTGACTCACCCCATAAATACTGAAGTGTGCTCTAAATTTCCTTCAGTATGAAATTCTAGACAACACCAGAAAAACAGCACCATTTAGCCAAAAATGTGAATGTCATGTCTAAACTCCAAGAAAAAAGAGGATACCTGACACAGGGAACACTTAAAAGAGAGATAAAGGGCTCCACTGGTGTCTCAATTTGTTGGCACTGTTTCTACCTTTTTTTTTTTTAAGGTTAGTTCAATGTAAATGGCATGACTAGCTAGCAAGTCCAAAAACACCCTGAAGGTGGTCTTGATAAATTCACAGCCTGAAGCACAGCAACATTTTGGAAAGCTGACTCATGAGCAAACCACAAACTCCAGGAAAGCAGGACTACAGTGTGCTGTACATCTTCCAACATATTGAAAATAAAAGGAGGTTGTATCTTACCTCCCAATAAACAGAGTCATCAAAGCAGTTCTGGTCAGATGCTTGTCCCAAGAAGGGGAGTTTTAGAATACCACCTGCAGGAAAAAAAGCATCAGAGGTTAAAAAATGGACAAAATGCCCAAATAAATGTTCCTCAGATGTTTCCTGGGGAGTCATCTAAGTTTTCTGACTCATTTCATAGTCTACAGAAATGCCCAACAATCTCGGGACATTAGGTGATTAGCATCCCAATCTTGAGGTGCTATAAAAGGGGATGCAGTTTCCTTCATGTCATCATGAATAACAGCTTGTTTTTAATTCCTCAAACCTTTCCCAGATTTCAGACTGGAATTTTCTATTTCATCTGAAATTTTGTTTGGAAAGTATCCACAATCACATGGAAACCTGTGACAACTAAATTAATATGTCTTAATCTCAAACTAGTTTCTCTTCAGAATTTCAGGTATCTGAATCTAGAGAATCCCACCCAGAAACCTTACTATTCCTATAAATACAACCCAGTATCATTGAAACATATACTCAGTAAGATATCTAAGCTTAATTTTAAGACAAAATTATTGGAAAACTGCTTTTTTGTATTTAAGATTCTGAAGGGTGCGTGCCATCATGCATTATTTCTGTTTTTCTATTTTGAACAGTTTGCATGAAATTGCTGATACACTGAAGTTCTCCATGAGCAAACACTTAACATTACTTATATTTCTGTTGCTATCTACATCATACTGACCTGTCAACGCTCCGCCTGCCAGTGCAATCCCAATTGTACTGCCCAGGGCAGCAGCCTGCATGCCAGGAGTAATGGGGACACTGTGCCTGGAAAGGGCAGATAAACAAAACTTTGACAATCAGAAAAATGTTACACTCTGAGACTGATAATTGATTTTATAACACTGTACTTGTTGTCTGCTGGGGAAGGTGTCTCGCAGGAAAATATCCTGACATTGACGTGTTCAAGACAGAAGCATGATTTTATTTTTGTTTTGTCTTAGAGGACAGATGAAAACAAGTTATTTTTAAAGGCTGTTACTATCCTGTAAACCTTTAGAGAATGCTGCCCTTTGTCAAAAAGACCAACGTTTCATCTTCTTGGAGTCTTTTAAGGTAGTGGAATTAGCCCATTTTGCCAATTTTCTTGGAAATCTTGCAGTTCCCTGCAGTGTAATTGTAGAATCATAGAATCATAGAATGGTTTGGATTGGAAGGGACCGTAAAGATCATCTAGTTCCAACCCCCCTGCCATGGGCAGGGACACCTTCCACTAGACCAGGTTGCTCCAAGCCTCATCCAGCCTGACCTTGGACACTTCCCGGGATGGGGCATCCACAGCTTCTCTGGGCAACCTGTTCCAGTGCCTCACCACCCTCTCTGGTAAGAATTTCTTCCTGATATCTAATCTAACCCTCCCCACTTGCAATTTGTACCCGTTACCCCTTGTCCTGTCACTACAGGCTCTTGTAAAAAGTCCCCGCCAGCTTCCTTGTAGCCCCTTCAGGTACTGGAAGGTGCAATAAGGTCTCCCCGGAGCCTTCTCTTCTCCAGGCTGAACAAGCCCAACTCTCTCAGTCTGTCCCCATAGCAGAGGGACTCCAGCCCTCTGAGCATCTTCGTGGCCTCCTCTGGACTCACTCCAACATAATCATAATAATCATAATAAAAGTTCTTCAACATCTGAATGGTTCTGGAGGCTGTTTTTTATGATATTTTTCTTTAGTTTTACTTGAGCTTTTAATTTGGAAGAAGCTAGGCATGTAAACAGTATGCTAAAGGCAAGATATCTAGAAGAGTCTAATTTACATGACATCTGGCATCAAATCAAAGATGCATTTTCTGAAAAATATCATAATTGAATCAAAAGAAAAATGACCAAATCAATAAAGTCCTTTCTTCTCTCCAGAACTCACCTGTCTTCCTTTATTACTGCAGCTGCTATGATGCCAGCGATACCTCCCAGTATCCCAGGTAAACCATGTAAATTATGAACTCCACAAGTGTCTTGAATGTTCAGCTTAGATGCCAACAAAGGCTGAAATGAGGGGAAATATGAAGTTTATAGTGAATTCATAGTCTTCCAGTATCTCTGGGATGATATGCAAAAGAAAACAGTGCAGAAGTACAAGAAATTATTTAACTTATTAAAAGTTAGCTAACCTTATAGCAAAGTTTAGCTATAAAATGTGCTGTCTTTCCCTTCACCATGAATTTATTTATATGCAGGGAAAATAAAGTGTGTACATATAATGGTACAAATGTCCAAGCTACCATCATAAATATCGTGCTATAAAACACATGACAGTCCACCGATGTTTCTAATCTCTTCAGCCGTTGCGGAGGTGGCTCAGTAACACATACACACCTGTTCCAAGTCTACTGGTCAGATATTTTCTTCCAGAATATTTCTCCATCAGGAAATTCCAGCTTAAACAGTTTTAGTCACAATATTTTGTTTCTACATTTTGCACATGGAACACTTTTTTTTTATACTTCAAAGGTATTTTCAATTACAGATCTATTTAGAAATCTAAAAGATGGAAACGTAATTAGTCTTATTCCACAGAAACATGGACTTGGAGCTGCTTTTTGTACAGAAATCCCAACATAAATGAACTCTAATATCTTTGTGATACTTCTGTCTTATTAGCAAGGTGATGGACTGGAGTTAGCTCATACACAAGTATTTAAGTAACACTGATTTCAGAATAACAACTATCTATAACCTACTCTTTATGAAGTATCATCCAGTTTCTTAACTCCCTTTCTAGCAAAGCAAAGGAGCTTCAGTAAAGCCAAAGAAACAATAAGCAAATGGTTCCAGAGGTGGGTCCTCAATACTTACAGACAGGAAGTGGAAGCCAAGGACAGAGATGACTCCAGCAAGGCTCCCAATGAACATGGCAACAGAAGGGTGGATTGGCAGGTCAGCACAGGTACCCACTGCTACCCCGCCTGCCAAGGTGGCATTTTGAATGAGAACCTGCAAAGAGCATACAGAGGTGGAGATGATCTATGTGGAACAGAGGCTTATTTTAGGGCTGAATGACTTTGAAGACCTTCTTTTTTTTGCATATAGAATTTTTCCCTTTCTTCAGGTGAGATTTTTTCCAATGAAGAATGAACAGGAATTTAAAACAAGGTTCCCTGTTATATGTTCAGGGTGTTGGTTCAAAGCTGCTCTAAGCCAGTTAAACTGGGGCCAGTTTAATGAAGTCTGACTTTTGCAAAGTCACTAAAACTCATCTGACCTCTCGAGAAGCTGTATGAGCTGTCCAGAAGTGCCTCCTACAATAGCAGCAAATTCTGCAAGCTCATGGAACTGTGCCTGCCCACACTGGGCTTAGATAAACACTGCAACTGCTGGAAAGAAGTGAGCCGAAACGTAGGGCTGGATTTAGGGCAGGGAGATGGAAAGTTGACAGCCTAGGAGTGTCAACCTAGTTTGGTTTTGCCTGTTGTGCAGCTGCACCATGAGATTGCCAGGGAACAGGTCATTGCCTTGAAGGACATAATTTGGCTATTGCAATATGGCAACTCACACAGGATCTCCTTGGGAATAAGAGCCAAAAGTCCACCTGGACATTGGACTAATGTCTCTGTGGTCCAGCAGGCGCTGTGGACAAGAGAGAACAAAGGAGCAGGACCACCGTTATAGTGTCTGAGAGTTTTTACTCTCCAGATACAGTGGTTCCATTGAGGAACAACATCACATACCTAAAGCAGGGTGGGTTGCCTCAGGACCCAATCTTACATTATAGCTCTTAGTAATATAATAGCTCTAATTTCCCTCACACTGTGAGCAAAACCTCCAGATAGCTCACGGACATTGGGAATCTGCCTAATCATCCTTATTATAGAGGGGTGACTCAATGTAATTAACGGAGTTTGCGACGCGATTCTTACCATACTGAATTTGCCTCTCTGATCCACCAAGCTGGAGAGGGCAAATGTTACGGCAGCACATGCAGCCAAGGAGTAGTAAGTGTTGACAATTGCTTTAAACTGGTGACTACTTTCATGTGCAATTGCAGAGTTAAAACTGGGCCAAAAAAGCCAAAGGAAGAGGGTACCTGTATGAATATAAGACAAAACAAAGACTATTCAGTCACAAGGGGTGAAAGATTCAATACAACAGGACTAGCTACAAGAAATGAAGATGATGATCATAGAAAAAATGGAATAGCCAAAATTCTAAAAGAAATAATAGCTTATGCAGAAGCTTTTGACACTATCAGCTGTGATTTTGACATGTTCTCTTACAAATCTTACTTGAAGACTTTAACACATTGTGACCCCTTCTCATGCCCCACTCACTGCCAGAGCTCACCAACACTGTGAAAACCATACCAGAATAGGATGCATTAGCAAGACAGCTCACATGCAAATCCTTTATAATCTATCAATATAATGGATCGTTTTAGCTGGTAAATTGATCTATGAATAGATCTCACAGACAGGTAGATGTATGGTTTCTAACATTCATTAGTGGGACAGACATAGATCAATACTTTTATTTATGAACAATTTCTGTGGAAATGCTGCTTATAACAGAAGGTTTAACAAAAATGGAGTCATCACTAATGCACATAAAAAAAAATCTTTAATTTGATCTTTCCCTGTTTTTAACTAAGGGAAAACTGTGAAAATATATGTGTCACTGAAAACATTGTACATGCATCTGACAAAAAATGAATATGCCTCTAAATGTGTACTTAAGGGAACGGATGAAGTGTTATAATCGGCAATTATTAAAACACAGAGATGAAAGAGGGATGAACAACTGATCAGCACTCACTATTACTTCACTTACCAATCATGGCAAATAAGTCTGAATGATAAGTAGATTCTTCATTTTCATGTTTGTTTTTCAGTCCAGGACGAAACAAGATTAGAGTTACAGCCAAACCAAAATAAGCTCCAAAAGCATGGATAGTCATCGAGGCTCCGACATCTGTGGCCTGAAATAGGGACCCAAAATAATGCCAGAGATTTTATACAGCATAAAGATGAGGATTTCTTGAAGAAGTGTGGATGACTTTAAAGGTTTATTTTCTAGGGTAGAAACTAGAACCTAGATTATGTCAACCGGAAATATTACAAAGTGAAAGCATTCGTTATAAACAGAAAAAAAAAAATATTGCTAAGTAGTTGTACCTGAAATACTTCTGTAACTAGATGTTCGTTGCATGCAAAGATTGTCACCTCCAGAATTGTCATGATCAGCATCTGAAGAGGACTTGTTTTCCCCAGGACTGCTCCAAATGAAATCAAAGCAGTTGCTGTACTGAAGTCTGCATTTATCAAGCTGAAGTTAAGAAAACAAATAAAAGCAAAACAAAAACACAGGAAAAAAGAAAGTCAGTTTAAAGATACCTGAAATAAGGTAATATCAAACCTATCATGTAATTAAAATGAACGACCTTTCAGATATAAAATTATCAACATGATCTTTGTGGATGAAAATTAAATCAAACCTTTCCATGTGGGTTTTGTAGGGATTTTACCAGCTACTGAGGAAAAAGTGTGGGGAGGTTACCTCCTGCTTATACCACATATGTGCTTAGTTGGTTGAAATTATAGCGAAAAGTCAGGTGTGTATTGCAGACATGCAGGGATATTTCCAGGTTTAACTATCACTTGAACCTTTAAGGTGACAGGGAGCTCTTAGCTTGAGTCAGATGGTTTATTTAATTTCAAAAGCCATGCATGGCTTTCTATCACTATGCATCATGTTTGCACTAGCTGTTAGGAAGGACCAGTGTTAAAAGGTTATGTGGAATGGCAAACATAAATAAAACCACAAAATGGTCAAACACCTGCAGCACAGAGAGGGTCCCTCTACAAATGCCTGACTGTAAGCATTAAGGAGCTACTTAGATTATTTCTGCTTGTTTCTCAGTAATGTTTGGATGCTGTTCTTTTCAAAATTGTCTACAAGGTGTCTCAGAAAACAGACCTGCACATGTGGAAAACATGCTGAGACCTTGGTAGAAGCAGAATAATTGAATGGGAGGGGGATTAGAAATATCTAGAGACATTGCTCATGAGGTCTCTTGTTCTATGATTGGCATCAAAACCTACTGCAGAATGTTGTTCATACAAATCATTCCTTGAAAATTACAAAAAAAACCTCATGACTGGATAGACACACTGTTCCAACCTTTCTTCTGTCACCCCATGTGTTATAGAAGGACATATCCTTTCATGCTTGCTGGACTCGAGGTGCTGAGCTACTGCTGGAAATCTTCCAGCTTCCACAGTTCCAGAGACTCAAAGCAGTCTCTATACATGACCTGTGACACTCATGTAACACAGCACCTCCAATTTTGTCCTACCCTTTGGTTCCTTTGGCCCAGTGCACCAGGTGTTCATAGAATCGTAGAATCATGGAATGGTTTGGGTTGGAAGGGACCTTAAAGATCATCTAGTTCCACCCCCCCTGCCATAGGCAGGGACACCTTCCACTAGACCAAGTTGCTCCAAGCCTCATCCAGCCTGGCCTTGAACACTTTGAGGAATGTGGCCTCTACAGCTTCTCTTGGAAACCTGTTCCAGTGCTTCACCACTCTCTTCATGGAGAACTTCTTCCTGATACCTAATCTAAATCTTCCTGCTTTCAATTTAAACCTGTTACCCCTTGTCCTGTCACTACAGGTCCTTGTAAAAAATGGTGTGTGTCCCCATTCCGTCCCGGCCCCCCAGCCTTCTTGTAGGCCCCTTCAGGTACTGGAAGGCTACAATGAGGTCTCCCCGGAGCCTTCTCTTCTCCAGGCTGAACAAGCCCAACTCTCTCAGCCTTTCATCATAGCAGAGGGGCTCCAGCCCTCTGAGCATCTTCGTGGCCTCCTCTGGACTCACTCCAACCGGCCTATATCCTTCTGATGTTGAGGGCTCCACAGCTGGATGCAGCACTCCACGTGGGGTCTCACAAGAGCAGAGTAGAACAGGGGAATCCCCTCCCTCAACCTGCTGGCCACACTTCTCCTGATACAGCCCAGGATATGATGGGCTTTCAGTCATATTGCCCCTTTAGAGGTGAAGGGCAGATGAAAGTTGAGAGGTGGACAGTAAGGCTGAAGCACATTTCAGTGGGTTTAGAAGTCTGATCCCACACATGATATAGTTTATGGATTCTCCTGATATCTTAAGGGATAGAAATATCAGTCGTGGTAAATTCACGTATACCTTTTCATGTCAACATGAATTTTCCCTCTTTTCATGTGCCAGAATCCTTGCATCAGGGTTCCCCACTGGAGACCGAAGGCAGCAATCAGCATGTTGATACCAACACTGCTGAATCCATATTTCTTCAGAAAGGTCATCAGGAAACCAAATCCAACAAATATCATCACGTGGACATCCTGAAAGACTGAAGGGAAAACATGTCTATGTAGTGACTATGAAGGGAGGAAAGCTAGGGACAAATGAGGATTTAATAGAAGAGTTCCAAGCTCATGTCATTAATGTGATCCATCCTTCCCCACTTCATTACCAGTCTACACATGAAGATTGAGTGTCTGGAAAATCCAAGACCCAATTATTGATTTTATTCCTTGCTGTATCATTATGGAAAGAATACGAGATCGCTACACCAGCAAATGTAATGTGCCTCAAACTGTTCTCTGTGTATGAGGCTACCTGGAACATCACAGCTTCATGTCCTTACAGAAAAGTTCTCTTCCCTCTTGTTGTGGTTTAGGCTAGGATAGAGTTATTTTTTTTTCCCTAGTAGCAGGTATAATGCAGTGGTTTGGAGTTAGTATGAGAATAATGTTGATAACACATGATCTTTGAGCTGTTGCTAAGGAGTGCTCACACTAAGTCAAGGTCTTTTTAGCTTCTCATGTTCTACTGACTGAGAAGGCTAGAGTTGCACAAGAAGCTGGGAGGGAACACAGCCAAGACAGCTGACGCAAACTGGCCAAAGAGATATTCCATACCATATGACATCATGATCACTACCAGGGGAAAGTTGGCTTGGGGGGATCTGGGGGAGTGGGGGGGGGGGGGGGGGGGGGGGTGGGGGAGATGCCCAGGCACTGGCTGGGCATCAGTTGCCAGGTGGGAAGGAATTGCACTGTGCACCACTTGTTGTATATTCCTTTTAGAAATTATTGTCATCAAATAGAAGTTCCTACACCTGGTGTGCTCTAGCTAACCCCAAAATTGTACAGGAGATTTGTTTGGGGCAGTGCTAGTTGGCCCAGTGCAAAAGTATGCTTGTGATCCCTAAAAATTACTGTACAAGAGATTGATTTCTTTACCTGGGTAAAAGAAAAAGGCATCTAAGTTATCATCTAAACTGGCAAATTAATACTGCTAATCACTTAGCCTCCTTCAAATATTTTTTTTTGAAGATATGAATTTTGTTAAAATATGACTAGTTCTTTTTCTACTTTTTTAAAAAAAGGGTTTTTTGCTTTTTTTATGCATTTTAGTACAAGCTGAGTTTATCACCACAACATAGATATTTTATATTTTTAAATATTTTGTTACTCCATAACGTTTTATGTGATTTAATGGACTCTACAATGAACAGGCTTGAGTGCCATAATTAAGGCTTTTTCTCTGATTTTATTGTTAGTAAGTACCTCAGAATAAAGAAACTGTCTCTTTTGAGTTCTATTTCATTGTCTCTTACATCCAAATATGCAGGAAAATCTTGAGACATTGGTTAGGATAATATTTGGCTTGAATTTACATTTTCCAGTTACGTACTTTCAGCATTCCTATAGTTTTGATGTATGCATTACCACGTTTAGCCAAAAGAGGGCCCAAATGTATAATAAGTTACTGGAGATTCCTAATAAACGGTTATATTTACACTGTCATATTCCAGTCATGAAGAGCACTGAAATGCATGCATGCATGCACTGACATCCTTTACACTGGGCAACATGCATCTAAGAAACAGTGTAGAAAGGCAGGTGGTTGGCAGACATCTCTAACCCTTTTTTTTTCCTCTTTAGATTGGACATTTTCCACATTTGTTTCCTGATATCAATAATATCCAGTGATGGGATTCTTGAGGGCCCTCCAGGTCAAATCATTGCCAACAAAGCAAGTAAATTGTTCTCATCAAAACAATCTAATTCATATATACAGCATATCAGCAAATCATGTTTAGTTTAGTAAAAGTTGTTTTACAGCTTAAGTAACCTGGCTCTACGCATGGGCAACAGAATAGGTTCCAAAAGCATCTTGATGACTGAGGGCTTGAATTCTCAGTGCCCATCTTTAGGGGTTCTGCATGCTCAGGTCTCTTTTGAAAGGAGCTTTTAGAAATCTTAGACCAGCCCTGGACATTGGAAGGGATTCCTTCTGAAACAAGCAGCTGGTTGACATGTATTCTTGGGTCCTCCTGAGGACTAGCCAGGATCCATATAAATGTTTTAAAGCTGTCTGGATTTATTTACTCAATAGATTAAAAGTCTTGGTTAAAACTGGGTTAATTAATGGATCATCCCGCTCTACGCCTCTCTGGTGAGACCCCACCTGAAGTACTGTGTCCAGTTCTGGGACTCCCAATATAAGAAGGACACAGACTTGTTGGAGCGAGTCCAGGGGAGGCCATGGGGATCCTAGAGGGCTGGAGCAGTTTTGCTATGGGGACAGGCTGAGAGATTTGGGGGTGTTCAACCTGGAGAAGATGGTTGAAACAACTAAATCTAAGGGGTATCGATGAAGTTAACATCCCATGGCTCCTGGGGATAACATGGGAAACAGTTTGAAACTATCATTTTGTGAACTCAGAATTCCTGGCTCAGGATGTGTCTATTCATCCATAGTATTTACTTTCTGCTGGGTCCTCAGGCAAACTCCGCTCGTGTGCACTTTGTATACAGAGAAGTTTGAGAGGAAGAGGGCTGGAAAGTGAAACCACAGGTATTAGGAAATCCTGGGTTTATTCCAGTTGTTTATTGTGAATGAGATTTGTGTACTCCTGGGTCAGCATCTAAAAGTCCAGCACTGCATCTGTGGTATTTGCTCAGTTTACGTCTCTCCTGGTAAACTGAACGGCCTGGCCGAAGGGTAAATGGCATAGCATGACTCACATCTGTACGGCTATGTGCTCATCCCTCCCAAAACACTGTTCCTACCTCTACTACTTACTGAGAGGAGTCCCTCATCTATGCTATGCCTAAAGTCATTCCTAGGAGGAGGTCAAGGTTCTGGATGCCTGAGCCAAAACCATTCCAGAAGCTTGCTAGCAATTCAATAGTGTGGACGGCTGGGGGACAGTGTGCAAGTGGAATGTATTCACACACTGCCTTTGCAGAAAGAATTGCCATTTCTCCCACAGATTTTAGACACTGGAATTGGGGAAGAAATAACTACAAGTGATCCCTATTTGGAAAGATTACATTTAAAGGCCTATATTGTAGTGTTAGCACCTGTTGAGAAGAATTGAAGAATTGAAGAATCATTTTCTCTGTGAAGTTGGTGAGGCTCCTGCCCTCTCACTGATTCATTTTTAAAATGGAGCTATTAAATTAAAACAACAGGGCTCCACACAAAGGCTGGGAGAGTGTTTTTCTGAGTGAAAAAACAGCCAACTGCAGGAGCTCCTCAGCAAACACAGTACCCATGGTGATGCATGTGGCACAGGCAATGTCTATCAAGAAAGCTCAAGGTTTACAGTTCTGTAAGGGTCCACTGAAGACTATTAAATTACTGCCATGAACACAAAGATCCCATGCACCTTTCCTCATTTTCTTTGGTAAGGGGCACTCCAAGAAAATGCAGGTCAATTTAGTACCAGAGACAGCAGGTGTGATATTCAGACTGGAGAAGGTAATATTCTCTATTCTCGTGGGGCAAACAGGACTTAATATTAGTCTGAAGGACCCATGACCTAGAAAGGATCCTCCTATCTTACCAAATTATATGAAGATGCCGGAAACACTATCATTCTGTGGCTGTATTTGTGGTTGTCATGTTTTTTTTGAGTAGAGTCAGAAAAAGAGGTAAGTAAACAGGTGTTTTAGGTAATAGCTATGTTAATAAAATAACAGAATTATCTGTGCTGTCAAATTATTAGTGTGGTCTCTAGCACAGTTTTTGCCTAGGCCAATTATCACCTCCTGAGTGACCATGGACCAGGAGTTATTATCAACATACCATCTAGATAAGGCTACCTAAATTAGAAACTGGGATCATTCAATATCATGGACATGTCTCAGGAAGAGAATAGGCTCTGGCAAATCCTAAATGGCTGTATCTCCAGGATGCTGCTGCATCTCAGTGGAGTTAACCCAAATGTGAGTAATTGATGTTTATCAGCTAACTTGAATCTGGAGCTGATTAATGCCATGCACTCACTGTTCTCTCAACTGGACAATGGTCAGTGTGAGAATATACAACACAAGACTACTAGGGAGTAAAGTGACCCTGAGAACACATTCCCCTGTAACAGTCACAGAAAGGCCAGTTGGAACGAAACAAAAAGTAACATACATTCAAAATTACATGGGTACTGCATACAGGCAAAGTATTCTGTACCTTTATGATCATCATTAAGAGGATTGTAATCAGGGCTAGAAATCATTAAGACATTAGATCCAAGAAAACAAACATCAAACCTTCAACAGCGCCAGCACAACACAGGCTGCTCCTCTGCAGGCTTGTTTTTCTATTTATTTACAACAGTCTATATTTCACATGAGGAGGAAGAGAGTGGGAGAAGTCAGCAACTACTTTTCAGGCCAAAAGTTTTCTCCTTGAACTTTGTCAAGCATTTGCAGAACAACAAATCAACAGAAACATTTGCAGGCTGCACCATTACTACTTACGAGTGAGCCGCTGCTTTGAAATAGGAATAGGTTATCCACTTTGTGACAAAAACCACTGCCCTTCATAGAGTCCAGTTTGTGCAAACGCATTTTGTAATGATGATAAATATGCTACCCAATTTCCATGTTCTCATAAGACAACCTTCTGAAACCTCAGAAAAAGTTTGTTTGCCCCAAAGCATGCCTTTCTTTTCTAGCTATATCAGTAAGTCTCCTAAGTTATTCAGGAATCTTGCTTAGGATTAATTTAAAGAAATTAGAACTTCTATATATCTTAGACAGCAACACTTACATGCGTATAAATCTCGAAAGGTACCACTGTCGTCATATTCCACAAATATCCCAAATAAAACAATGATGATCGCTTCCAGAAAAAGAGCCGTGATCGAGAACTTGAACCTCATGTTGGTGTCAAGGGCTGAAGGCATTGCAGGAGAGCAGGCGGCTGTGGGACCCTGATAAAAGGACGCTTGCCTTCAGCGGATCTGGGTGATATAGCAAAAAAAACCCCAACAGAGACAGGCAAATTCAGTGTCACACCCACTATGGGAGGGAAACGTTATGGGTCAGTATAGCGATTTCTATTTCCCAGGCTATTTCTATGCATGAAATGCTGGCTTACACATTTTTTTTTACTTGTAATGCAAACCATTTCATTTAGCCACAGATGTGCTTCTCACTGTCTTATACGTATTTTAAAAAGGAAATAGCCTAAAAGAAAATCTTGCAGAGCTGAACCTCAACAGCCAATTGCATTTCCTGTAGTCAATAATTTCTTCAAGTTTTAGCTTCTGTTTTAGAAGGTAAATAATTTTTCAACTTATATGAAACATGGATAATCTCCTCTATCTTCATATAGGATATGATAAGCAAAGAGATTCTCTTTCAGCAAGCTGAACTTCTTATTTTCCAGTGAATGAAATACTCAGAGCACAAGTTCTCATTGTAAAATCTTATATAAAAGGAAAATAATTACACTTCTTCATAAGAAAAAAAGGATATTCCTAGTTGTTAAAAAAAATAAAGATGTAGACTATTAAAAAGAAGAATTTGAAAAACCCAGCTCATTTAAAAAAAAAAAATTAATTATTGCTTTTTGCATTCCCCTTAGCTCAGACAATGAAAATAGGTTAGAGACCAAATCTCTTAAATGGTTTTGAAAAAATTAATTTGTGAACTTTCTCATGAATAAAAGAGCAAATTAAATTTCACTCAGATTACTTTTGGATGATCATTTGTTCTTGAGATGCACACTGCTTGTTGAAATTTGTCTTGACTCTTTAAAGTTTTGTGGATAAAATATTTTTTTGATGTGATACCGAGTAACTTGGCCTCTGTTAATCCAGTATTTAGAAGATAGGCTAAAATTGTGTAGTAGGAGCCTATATTTAATGAAAAATAGTGTCTATTAAAAAAAGGGATGATATTGCAGTAGTAGACTAATTGGCCATGAATCAGTAGTGCTAGGATGCATCAATAAATTGCCAATAGTTGACATGCTATCATATTTAAAGAATTTTTTGTTTAGGGTACATCTATACTGGTGTACCAGACAGTGCCATGGCCTTTTCTCTGGTCCTGATTTACATATTTGTCAATCTTTAGCTTGCCAAACAGGGTGGCTGACACCAGGCACCTTATGAGAACTGTGCCCTCTTCATGGTGACCTCGACTAAGTCTGCTTGACACTTTTGCTATAACCTTAGGGAGGATAAAAGCCCTCACGCTGTTCAGTTTCCTAGTATAAAGGTACAATTAGACCATGGTTCAAACTAAGTTAAACTCAGCTTTTGCACCTTGAAAATGGGTCTGTGGATTTGGAATGGAAACCAATTTATTTATCAAGAAGAACACACTAGGCTATCACAGAATCAAACCTGCAAGTGGCAAAGCTAAAATAAGTATATATGAATTTTTTCTTTGTAGAGACTGTATTTCATTTGAACAGCTCAAAGAGAGGAAGCAGAGCTTTGTTTAAAAGTTATTGGTCATCCTTACGCTACCACAGGATAAGACAGACGACAATGTGTGGTTGTAAGGGCCTGTGAGCTCCTTCATTTGCACAGGAAGTGATTAAAAAAAAGAACAATATCACGAGTTCATTGTTTTTTATCCATGGTTCAGCCATGAATATCTTGTGTTATTCATTACACATTGTTTTCCCTAGTGAGTATCTTGACCCAGGGATCCAGCCAGAGTATCTCCCATATATTACATTGATATACGTGCAATCCTTGTATTAAGTCCTTTCAGGGGTGCAGAAAAGGCTTCCTGTTGAACTCTTACTGGGTGAAGTACCTTTTAATAAATGTTTAAATTTTAAAATGGGTCAAGTCAAGTTCATTCAATCAGGACTTTGTCTGAGATTATTATGTCTTAAATTGCATGCAGGTACATAAACATGCACACAGACACACAATCTATATTCAAAGACTATTCATGCATGTCTTGGTCACGTTATACTGCCTTTGTAGTTAATGCAAATATAGTGTACATCTCTAGAAAATGATCAGTCTTAATGCTCCTGAACAGTTGTCTTAGGAAAAGATGCATAATATTTTAGAGATTCTAATTTCCCTTCATTGATTATAACTCCAGCCTTTGGTGAGTAGTTCACATTTAAGCATCCAAACTCTTGAAACATGACTCAGGACCAGCCTCTCCATCCAAGATTTTCAAGGACTTGCCAAAGGTGCTTGTTTGCTCTGGTGTAATTCACATGGCTAGTGCACTGCATGAGATGCGGTTCTGCTACCTGAGAGTACAAACAAAAGCTGCACTCCAGCATGTATGTGACAGAAAGCTGATATACAAGTGTAACTAGAGTACACAGTCCTTAAGAATTACATTTAGAAAACCTCACATTGACTTCTAAGCAGAATGCTCAATGCCTAGCATTCCCTCCTCCTGTCACCCCTGTTTCTTTTCTGATTATTTTGGCCAGAAAGTGCAACTTAGCTGTTTTCCTGGTGAGGTAAACTAATATCTAACAGACAGATAAATGGTCCCTATACCTGTACAGGTGGTTTACAGGCTAATAGAGAGTCTGAAGAAATTATATTCCAATATTTATTTACTCTAAAATTTGTACTTCTAAACAATGAAATACTTCTCACCTTTAACAAAGCTTAAACAAGGCTAATCTGTCAGCATTTAACTTCAGATATTATCAGCTTTAAGCAAAAAGGACTGACAACACTAGCTGCCAGGAGAAAGATGATGCTTTGTCCAGAGGGTAGAGTTAGGCTACTTTGCTTGCTGGACTTTTGGGGAAAACCCAGTTTGGCCTGACTCACTGCAACTTGAAGCTGTTTCTTCTCATCCTATCACTT